AAGTAGCCATGGGAAATTAAAAGGCTGTCACAGCAGGAGTGGTGAAGTAGCACTGGGGGTGCACCACTCAGAGAGCAGAGGTGGTGTAGCTGTTGAGTGGAGTATGACGCGTCACAGCAGCAGAGGTGGAGTAGATGCTTGGTTCGGAGTGAGATGCTGAAAGTTTATTAGCATATTTTATAAAATTAGCCTTCCTCCAGGGATTTACGCCTAGTCTGATTGGTTCGGACCGTGAATCCTCTCTGCTCTGGTCTGGTATCCGTGTAAAACCCTTAACAATATACTGCAATAACATTTACAGGTAGAAAAAAGCAAGAAAACAACAATTGTAAAGCACAAAACACTTGTAGGCCATGTGCTAGTTCATGAAAGAGGTCTAGAAATTGAATTCCATTCCAGGATTGTGGGAAATACTTTCTTTTTGCTTTATGTTAATGCTAAATAGTTACAGTTAGAGAAAAAGTTCCACAAACAGAATCCCTGTCGATAAGGAGAAAAATGTTGTCAAAGTTGTGGTTTTGATCAAAATCTGACATTTTAGCCTGATGTACCATGTTGGGAGGTCTCTAATTGCAGAACTCCTTATTTCATAAAAAAAAACAAATTACTTGGCCAAAGAGATCACACCAAAATTGATGTATTCCTGGAATATTACTATTATTGAAGAAATATTTGAACATCCAAAATTATTATGAAAAACTAACATTCAAATTTGGGCACTAAACTGGAAAAACTACCATTAACTGATTTTATGTCTAATTATTGTTGACTTTCCTTCAAATACCTCAAAGATGATGCTCAGCATGGTCAGAATGGGCGTGGCATCATCCGCATGGGCGTGGCATGGTCAGTCAGTCAATGATTATTATGGTAATATAATTGGGCACAATAATCATTAATGTATAGTCATTGTTGTCATCAGTGGCAGAGCCAGAAACTTATTGAGGGGTACGTCTACAAAGGAATTTTAGGCTAATTATTGATTTTTTTTATACCAAATTAAGCAAAGGTATGTACCCTTAATCCGTGTACCCTTCGATCATTAGTTATTCCGTTTCAAAATAAAATCAGAAAAACAAATTACGTGGTTGTTTTATTGTATTTCCATTTTCTAAATTAAATTGGAAAATCAAAACATTCTAAATAAAATATTCACCATTTCTTTGCTCTGCAGTGGAAACAAACACTACTAAAACAACTTCCATTATTTTGTTTGATTTGCTCCCGGAAATGATGAGTGGTGAGAGACGGAAACAACTGCAAGATGCACTCAACTCAACTACACGACAACAACTCACGCTGTTGTTGAGCTCGCCCCCCCTGCCCGAGCTCCAGCACCTGGTATTCCCAGGCGGTCTCCCATCCAAGGACTAACCAGGCCCAAGCTCCAGGGGCAAAATGCTTACAGCACCTGGTATTCCCAGGCGGTCTCCCATCCAAGGACTAACCAGGCCCAAGCTCCAGGCCCGAGCTCCAGGCCCAAGCTCCAGGGGCAAAATGCTTACAGCACCTGGTATTCCCAGGCGGTCTCCCATCCAAGGACTAACCAGGCCCGAGCTCCAGGGGCAAAGTGGGTGTGCGGGTTACAATTTATAATAAAAAAAAGTGTTCTATCTTGACGTTTTCCTTGCTAAAATAACCAAACGGCAGGACAGTAAAAGTTCAGCTCTTCGGTTTATTTTCCACTCTCTCTCACGCGCACACGGGGGCGCGCTCTCTCTTCTCTCTCTCTCGCTGACAAACAGTGTTGAAACAAATACTAATAAAAACAATATTAATCAAACACAGAAAATCATAATAATCAAATAATATTAAGATTACCCAAATGTAAATAAGTAAATACAAAAATCTATTTTACAAGACCAATGGTTGAGCGAGTTTCCTGCTCAACGGACCAATCATTGAGCGAGTTTCCTGCTCAACGGACCAATCATTGAGCGAGTTTCCTGCTCAACGGACCAATCATTGAGCAGTCTGAAGCAAACAAGATGGCTGCCGCCAATCCACTGTTGTCACAACTATACCGGTACTTTCCGTCACTTCTTTGGACTATTTTAATCTCTCTTCGGGGGTTTTCTTCAGAAGCAGCAGGTAAGGCGCTTGTTTCCTCTGTGTCTGTGGCCGCACATTGTCTGTGGATTGTTTTTAAGTCCGTCTCTGCGCTAGATCTGTAGCGGTACAAACCTGACAGACAGCGTTAGCATTAGCCTACTGCTAGCTCCGGGTAACGCTATGTGCTTGCAATGATGTGAAAACGTAAATATTTACATGAATAACGCCATAAATATCCCGTTGAAACCGTGCAACATGTGTGTTGAGTGATGCACGAATATATAATGAATTATTCTGTGAGGCTTCTGTATAAAATAGTCTGCAACAGACAGTGTACTGTAATATACAGTACAGAAGATATGATAATCTTTTGTTTGTCTCACAGAAGGGACATTTCACTGTCATCGTTGCACTTTACAGCGGAATATAAGAAAGGAGGAGCTAAGCACTCAAATAGATCCTGTAAGGTGTGCAATCTAAGATAATAGATAATAAAAGGAAATAATAATAAGTTCTTAGTAATAAAATAAAGTTCCAAGGATATTTAACTAGTGTATACACTAGTCAGCAGGAGGTATTTACAGATGGAACCTAATCTATTATAGAATCTATTAAATGTTTACTTAAAAATAAAGGTGTAATACTGCAATGCATTGATGTTGCTACTGTATATGATGAACATGACAGGAAAGCATTTGAGCTAGTGTGGTTTGTTTTGTTTCAGAGATATCTGCATAACAACTGAGGAACCTACTTTTCTTTTCATCATCTGCATCCCAGAGACATGGAGGTAAATGCAACAACACATAACCACAAACCACGCAAACCAGTGAATCACTCACATGGACCAACTTAAATAAATAATTATGTTAATTAACGGGTTGGACTAATAATAAAAATGATAATGATAATAATGAAATGACATAGTCCTGTACATTGGTCACATGTCTGTAATGTAAGGCTGATCATGATAGTGTTTGTGGCGCCTGGACACCAGTGCAGTGTGTGTGACAAGAGCTTCTCTCTCGAGTCAAACCTGACCCGCCACATGCAGCTCCACCCGGCACAAGAGGAGCACATGTGTGATGTGTGTGGACAGCCAGATTGAGCCTTTGTGGCTGGATTGTGACCAGGCAGAGGCTGCAGCCAGGAAGACCAGGGGAGACATGTGGGAAGGACACTGGTGTTCACTTTTAGCAAATACTCTGGCCACTCTTTCAGCTGGCTGCTGGAGAATACTGCTAGTTACTAGTACACTAAAGCGGGATAATCCCATTAAAACTTTTTGTGTCCTTTTCATTAAAAAGCATAACTCATGGAAATAATTCCCCTGTTTAAGTAATATTAAGTCATTGTGCAATCTACAGATCTACAGCTACAACCTTGTCCAAATGTCTCCGCTTTTGCAAGGTAAATTGATAAATAAAACAATATGGTGGTTTAATATCTATCAGTTATCAAATAAGTCGATACATAATTATTGTAACTGGCCTTGTTACAGGTGGAAATGATGCGTACATGTACAGACTATTAACACATTAGCATATGGGATGGCAGCTTCCATATCGACATTCAAATGTGATGGTTTTTTCCTCTCTTCAGAGAATGTCCTGGATGAGGAGCATGTCTCCACAGCACTTGCAAGAATGACCCCCTGACCCCCCCCCCCGGTGTCTCAGGCCTTGGTCCTCGGTCTGTAGTTTAAGTCCTGGATCTATAGCCCGTCCGTCCATGTGGAGCGGATCCCTTTCTCAATATCTGGTCTCCCAGAGGTTTCTCACTTTTCTCCCACTGGGTTTTAGAGTTTTTCTTCTTATGCAGGAGGGTCTATTGGACAGTTGGTGTCTAACAAAAAGGACTGTGATGATCCAGGACGCTTTAACATTCTACAACATGTATGACATTTGTGTCTACTCCTTATGGACCAATGGTTCTGTGTTTTTAACACTTTAAGCACAAGCACAATGATATTCTCTGATTTGTGTTTTGAAAGCTATACAATGTATTATGTGCTTTGGATTTGCCTGATATTTATTAAATTTTTAAAATTAAGTCTCGATGCTCTTTCAATATTATTTATGCATTTATTTGACAGGGACAATGCAGACACAGTCATAAACAAAGCTTGCAGCTAATGTGATGAATATAGTTTATAATAATGCACACATCAAACAGATCTACTCTTTAAGATAATAGATCATATAATAATAATAATAGAATAGAATGAAATAGTCTGGAGCTATAATGTCATGGGATTCAAGGAGCTATAGGTTGAAAGGTCGCTAAGAAGAGGTGTCAGAATAAACAATAGTAATAATAGTTAGACTAGTGAATAATCAAAATAGTTTTATTGTGAAAATAAGTATCAATAAGGTCAAATTGTTCTAATAATTAGAGTAAAAAGGAATCAAATGGAGTCAGATTTTAGATTTTTCTGTTTTCCACATCTGTAGGAACTAGGGCAGATGTGTTTATAGAGAGTAGTATTAAAATGCAGACATAGAACGACAGGCTTTAACACAATTTTAAATCTAAAAATAGCTCAAATATAACATTGCTCTGGACGCAGCCTCTGAGCTGCTCCATTGGAGAACAGGTTAAATGTTATTGTTTATTACAAACAGCTGATGTATTTACACATATTAAGTTTGGGACAACTCTTTAAACAGTTATAAGCAGCGGACAGAAGCCATGAATGTGCTTTTCAGGCAACTTGATTTAGATTTATGTCTTTTATATTTGAGAACTACTGTGTTGTTTTTGGAAACATAAAATAGTGATTTGCAGAACAAGAACCAGCCAATGAAAAATCATCTATTGCCGATGCTATTGTTACAACTAAAACCACAACTGTGACCAAATGTAATAAATGTTAAGTGTTCAGTCTGGCAGACAAAAAGGTTGACTTTTAGTCTGGGGGGACTGAGCAACTGTTAAAATGGTTTAAAATGATAAAGTATGAGTATTTTAGCGTTTTAGTAGATGTTAAATAGTAGGGAAAAAAGTAGAATTTGATCATTGGTCATAAACAGCTTTCAACGTAAGAGTTAAAATAGTACCATACATTGTGATCCTTCTGATAGAGCAGCTAAACTGTTAGAATCAGAATTATTTTACAGCCATTGAAAGTTAACCTTGCCTGCAAGCTGAATTCTCGCGGTATTTGTGAGTTCACAAACACTCGATATCGCGGAGAACGCGTTAGAGTTCTACACAATCATCAATCTGGCTTTTGCCAGGTTAATTGAAAGTGACAGAAGTCTCAAATTAGAAATATGCTTTGGCTCAAGCTACAACCGAGCTTTGGAGTCACAATAGAGTAGAAATAGATAAATGCATCAACCATAGATGCTTTCAAAAATAGAGATTATTTTTAGCCAGTGCTAATATCAAATGGTAAAGGGACCATTTCACAAGCATTTTGATGTATTTGGGTATAGCACAAAAGTAGATATTTAGATATCTTTGAGAATTTTAAAAGCTGTCGATTTGTCAGCACAGATTAGAGAATGTGGAATAGACATGGAGCAAAATCCCACTGGCACAAAGCCACTGATAATGAAAACAAAACCACAGTATAGAGAGATTTATTAGATTAAAACATGTTTAAGAATATGGCTCAGTAAAAGCAAATATGCAAACATATTTGTAAATAGATTAGAATAGTTTTAAACTAATAGTGAATAGTTTTAGTGCATACATTACAGACGAGGTTGATGAAGAATCAGTAATGTGATTTGTAAAGGAATGTTTCAAATGTGGTTGTTAGTTGTGTTTACTCTGAATTAACGTCTTCACAGGAATCCTGCCTGAACTAAAGAAGCATGGATGCTGTCACTCATGATGTCACGGATGGATGAGAACGTGGATGTGACCTATTTATGAGGTCAAAGAGAGGGAGTGTTGTAGAATTATAATGTTGTATACTAATGATTTCCAGTAGGTCTTTGTATAACATGTCTTTGTGCAATATTAAAGCCTGGATTTAATGGAATTCAGAGAAGCACCAAGGACAAAGGCTTCTGTGATAAAAGTATCATTTTCAGGAACAGCGTGTCTCTAGCGGCCTGAGACACAAAACTGGACTGGGCCAGACTGGGACCAGCCTCAGACCATGTGACGTCATCGGAGATTCTGATAAAACCGTTGGGAGGACACATTGTGGGGAGTTGGAGCACAGGGATAGAGATTTAGGGAGTAGCTCCAGGAGTTCTGTATCAACATTTAATTGTAAAGAGAAATAAATGTACTATTGGAACTCTTGAAATCTTGGTCTCACTTCTGTATCAAACTTTGAACACGTCAGTCAAATCTTTTTTGACAACACTATGTACCTTTGCTTAATTTGGTATAAAAAAAAATCAATTATTAGCCTAAAATTCCTTTGTAGACGCACCCCTCAATAAGTTTCTGGCTCTGCCACTGATGACAATGACTATACACTAATTATTGTGCCCAATTATACATTACCATAATAATTATTGACTGACTGACCATGCCACGCCCATGCTGATGCCACGCCCATGCTGATGCCACGCCCATGCTGATGCCACGCCCATGCTGATGCCACGCCCATGCTGATGCCACGCCCATGCTGATGCCACGCCCATGCTGATGCCACGCCCATGCTGATGCCACGCCCATGCTGATGCCACGCCCATGCTGATGCCACGCCCATGCTGACCATGTTTTATGTGATGATTTGTGTTACCCTGTGTAGGAAAAGCGCACTATAAAGATTGATTCCGTGTTTTGTGCATTGCTCTGTGAGATGTTGAACGTTTTGGAATCTTTCTATGACTTATCACTGCTTTAAACATCTACACAATTTGATCCCTAACCTTTCTGGTGTGCTCATTGGACTTCATGAAGCAGATTAGTGATCAATACACTAAAATGTGAGGCCCTCACAGAACAGCTGTTAATACACAGAAGAGATTACACTTTGTTGAATGGTTAAGATCATAAGGACATTTGCAAAACACACTTTTCTGACAGGAGAAGGGTAAAAGGGTGATGCATGACCCGATACCAAAGTGTATTTAATAAAACTGTTACACAAAGTAATAATAATCAAACCAAGAGGACTCAATATTCAAATATACCTCTCTCTTTTCCTACATTCATATGTAGTTTTATTTCAATCCTTGAACAGAATTGTTCCAACTTCAGTGACTCTATATACTGGTACAGAGCAAGTGCAGTCATGGCTTCCCCAGCAGAGGGCGCAGTCTTTTGTTCACACTATTTAGCAGTGTTGCTCCTGCTCTTCTTCTTCTTGCTGCTTCTGTGGTCTTGTTGGGTCTGGGTGTACTCTGGCTCCAGAGGCTCAACTTTGACCTCTGCCTTGACACTGCACTGTGTGCCCTCCTCTCGCACTGTGCTCTCTGACGGCTCTTCTGTTTTGACCCTCTTCTCCCTCCTCCTCTTCTTCCCCACTGACACTGCTGTGTATTGAAACCTCTGTTTGAGTCCAGGGGGCAGGGCAGGCTGTGGAAGGGCAGGGATGGTGTGGAGAGCCTGGTCACAGTCTGCACTCAACCCATAGCTCTGGTTGATGCTGATGAGGCCAGTAAAGGGTGGGCCTAAGGAGGTGGTGCTGGGGGTATCCTTGGGGCAGGTGAGGAGACGGAGCTTGGAGCAGTGACGGGAAGAGCTCAGGACAGTGTATGTGAGCTCCCCCCCATCTGTGGATGGGACGCCAAGTGAACTCATGCCGTGGAGGGGCAGTTGAACACCGGTGAAGCTACAAACAAACACACAAGATGTGATTAGTCCCAGCTCAACATTATAGAATATACAATAAGCTATACCACATGAAGCTGTCTTTAACGCCAGGGACCAATTTAACATCAGACAATATTTTCACAGATATAGCAGCTCCTGTTATATCTGTGAAAATACTGTATTCACAGATATATTAGCGGGTTGAGGTTAACCCACCGATAATTGGCTGAAGCTAGAGCAGGTTCTGACGCCATCAAAAAGCACCAAAAATACAGCATTTTTAAAATCCAGCAGTATCCCTGTAAAATTACCTCGAAGTTCCTGCGATGGAAACGCGGCTAATGCCGTTAAGTTAAAAAGTTGTTGAGTTGTCGATGTGTCCCGATGAGCTTTTGTTTAAAGGTAATAACAGCTAACCGTTTTGATTTTTCTGCTCAGTAGTGTTAAGGAGGCTAACGTTAGCCTACTCTTAAACGGCTAGCACGTAGCCCAGCACTTAACCTGTGGGAGCAAGAGGACTGGCCTGTTTTCTTGTGTTTTTGTGCTGAAAACTTTGCTCTAAAAACAATCTTTTAGAAAAAGCGACACAGCAAAGTGTCATCATGTGTGAACCACACACACAAAGACAGCGTTAACACAACAACAGGCACATTGTGTAGTTTGTACACAACAGACTCACACGTGAACAATACGTAAATATTTTCACACTGACAATAATGAGAACGAGGCAGAATCTGCAACAGTCTCAGGATGTTCTGACCCGGTCCGAGCGCAGTCCAACTATGTCACAAGTTTCAAATAATTAAATAATAAATTTTTTTGTACATGGATGTTTGAATGGAAAGAAAAATGACAGCATAATGTACATATGTACTGTATTTTGTGTATTATAACAAAAATAAATCCACATAAAATGGCATTAACATTATTAATGAATGCCAGCCTATTTCAGAACAGGTACTCCCACAGTGCCAGCCATTTATGATGATTTTTACTGATATTTCAAGACCCACAGAATATTGTGTACTATGACTATCTGAAATCCAACACCAGATTCTAAAAGAATGGACTGTCTACTTTCCTCAGCAAAAAGAATTTTGTTTATAGCTTTTTTCGTTCCCCTGTAATCCTCCGTTGAGTAGAGGGAAGTTTTACTGAAATCACCAGAAATCACCAGAAAGTTGAGAAAAAAGAGGCACAACATGTGCACCTATATGTTTTCAAACCATTCAGAGAGCAATGCTGCCACCTGCTGGCTCGATAAAATATGGTCTCAAGTCATCCCCATACATATTAGATACAATAGACATCTGGGAACGTGAAAATAGCGAAAAAGGCATTTGACGGATTAATGCGTCAATGGCACACGACGTTACTATTTGCTTTGACGTATTTGTGCGTCAATGGGACACAATGAGTTAACATTCTGTCTTTCTGTAGTAGTTTTTCAGCACGACACATTCAGCTTCAGCTAAAGCCTCTTCTCCGTCTCAAAGGCTGTGGATCCTATTCATAATTGTGTCTCTACAAACTATTGTTTGTTACAGGGATGAGGGACTTTTGAAAAAAGATTTAATGACATTAATACCATTGGCTGACATTATGCACTTCAGACTGTTTGATTTGCTCACAGCATTTTAATTTTGGGCACAACCAACATGAACTGATATTGCAAAGGAAAAATTAGGTACCCATCTTTAATATAGCAAGTTTAGTTGCACTTCGCGAGGAGACTAGGACACTTCCTAAGGCTCCATTGTCCAGCTTCAGCAGTGCATTTATTGGCCCCGTCCCAATACTCGCACTTCCACCTCGCGCCCCTCATTTGCGCGTTCCCGATAAAGTGTGCGAGTGCGTAGGGTCCAGTCCCAATTCTCCAGGGAGGTCTTTGGCCCCGCCCCCTTTGCGCCCCTGATCCACACTTCGCCGTAGCCTGCATCTATGCACACTCTGGCGAAGGATATTGCCCATAATTCTTTGCGGTACACACCAAAACGTCGGGAAAATGCATTTAAATATAAATGTTGAAATATATATGCAGTATGTGTGTAAATAAGTTTTGCAATGTTACTTGGAAAGAAGCAGAAACGTCTGATGAAGAATTACGGACATTGTGTTTTAACAATTTAATAACTTTTTAAAACAAGCGTTTATATAACATTCAATTTAAACTTTACACTTAGTACAATAATCTTAGAATGTATAAAAACTGACCAGATAACAGTTAGTTACCCACATTTAACTTCAAATTATACAGCTATCTCTAATTAAATACAACTAATATACATGTATTTTAACGTGTGTGAAGCAATTCAATTTGTTTCCCAAAGGGTCAGACAAAATTACCTTTAATTTTTATAAAGTTTAGGTCTGAAAATGACCATCTCTTGACGAGTCGATGACGTAACCTGCTCTCAGTGCACTGTCCCAATTCTGCCTTTTGTGCTGTAACCTGCCACTCTGACCCTGTGTGCACTTCAGACACATGCACACTTTGTAGAAGTGTGTAGGGGGCAGTGGGTGTTGGGACTGGGCCTTTGAATACACAGGTTACGCCAAGACTCGCACACAACAAGCATAGAATAGTATGTGTAGGGCTGCACGATGTTGGAAATTAGAGCGATATTCTATATGAATGTTTAGTATTTCGATAATAATATTATTGCGATATTTTTGTCTTTCAATTGCAATCTGCATTGAAACGCAAGAGACAAATAACAAAAAATAAGCACAACATTAATGACAAATGCATAAATAGTATATATACTTTTTTGTTTCTTTGTTGAATGTTGATGTGTGTCGGTTTTGTGGTCTTTAATAAAAAAAAGAAAAAACAAATTAATTTAAAAATAATAATAATCGTGCATCTTTTTGAGATGGATATCGCATGTACCAATATCGCGATAATATTGTTTTGATATACTGTGCAGCCCTAGTATGTGCTTTGCTTGTGCTTGCCTTTTTTACTCCTCGCTGCTTGGCTAAACAAAAATATATAAGACATAACTGGGCACACACACACACAGTACACTACTAGGTTTAACCTTGATTTGGATTTAATTTAGTTCATCAAGACAGTGCTTAATAATCCTCACTAGGGCTGGGCGATATAAACGGTATGCGATAAAACATTTGCCAACTATGGACATTTTTGTTATACCGGCATATTGCGGTAGGTCATTATGTCATCATAGTGCACGGGGCCCAACGGAGTCCCTCCTCCAAGCTAGGTACTCCGTCTGGCCCTGGTGGGACTTGAGGTTAACCCGGCGCTGATTGGCTAAAGCTAGCGCAGACTCTGCCGCCAGGAGAAAGCACCAAAACAACCGGCATTAGCCCAGCAGCATTAGCCCAGCAGCATTAGCCCAGCAGCATTAGCCAGCAGCATTAGCCTAGCAGAATTAGCCTAGCAGCATTAGCCCAGGCATTAGCCCAGCAGCATTAGCCTAGCAGCATTAGCCCAGCAACATTAGCCCAGCAACATTAGCCCAGCAGCATTAGCCCAGCAGCATTAGCCCAGCAGCATTAGCCCAGCAGCATTAGCCCAGCAGCATTAGCCCAGCAGCATTAGCCTAGCAGCATTAGCCCAGCAGCATTAGCCCAGCAGCATTAGCCCAGCAGCATTAGCCTAGCAGCATTAGCCCAGCAGCATTAGCCCAGCAGCATTAGCCCAGCAGCATTAGCCCAGCAGCATTAGCCCAGCAGCATTAGCCTAGCAGCATTAGCCCAGCAGCATTAGCCCAGCAGCATTAGCCCAGCAGCATTAGCCCAGCAGCATTAGCCCAGCAGCATTAGCCTAGCAACATTAGCCAGCAGCATTAGCCCAGCAGCATTAGCCTAGCAGCATTAGCCCAGCAGCATTAGCCCAGCAGCATTAGCCCAGCAGCATTAGCCTAGCAGCATTAGCCCAGCAGCATTAGCCCAGCAGCATTAGCCCAGCAGCATTAGCCCAGCAGCATTAGCCCAGCAGCATTAGCCCAGCAGCATTAGCCTAGCAGCATTAGCCTAGCAGCATTAGCCCAGCAGCATTAGCCCAGCAGCATTAGCCCAGCAGCATTAGTCTTGGTAGATTTGCAGTGGACTGAGGCTGAGTTTACACGGAGACAATGTGGCAGTAAAACAGTGTAGTTGGATGTCGGTTTCTACCAACCGTTCACACGGAGACTGTTCCAGGTGAAAACGTAAGTGTTCAGATCCAGCCTCAGAAACGCTGCACAGCGGGGGCTCTTTCACACCCGCCTCCTGCTGCTCTGACCCCCGCCTCCTGCTGCTCTGACCCCCACCTCCTGCTGCTCTGACCCCCACCTCCTGCTGCTCTGACCCCCACCTCCTGCTGCTCTGACCCCCACCTCCTGCTGCTCTGACCCCCACCTCCTGCTGCTCTGACCCCGCCTCCTGCTGCTCTGACCCCCACCTCCTGCTGCTCTGACCCCCACCTCCTGCTGCTCTGACCCCCACCTCCTGCTGCTCTGACCCCCACCTCCTGCTGCTCTGACCCCCACCTCCTGCTGCTCTGACCCCCACCTCCTGCTGCTCTGACCCCACCTCCTGCTGCTCTGACCCCCGCCTCCTGCTGCTCTGACCCCCGCCTCCTGCTGCTCTGACCCCCACCTCCTGCTGCTCTGACCCCCGCCTCCTGCTGCTCTGACCCCCGCCTCCTGCTGCTCTGACCCCCACCTCCTGCTGCTCTGACCCCCGCCTCCTGCTGCTCTGACCCCCGCCTCCTGCTGCTCTGACCCCCACCTCCTGCTGCTCCTGCACGTACATTTGGACATGCGCAGTAGCGGAGAACAAACATAAACAACAATGGCGGCGGTCACACAAACTAGCTTCATGGGCTTCCAGCGCGGGACAGAGGATAATTCTACTCCTTCGTTCGTCCAAACGAGACCACGCAAAGCTCTAGGTTCAGTTTCCATGTTCACAGCTGCTGTTAAAATGCAGAATGATGTTGGTGCGTTCTGAGGGTCTGGCACAGGAAGTGAGTACACTGCAGAGAGGGGGGCTGGGCACGGGGCTGGGGGTCGTGTGAGTGTTGTAAAGTTTCTCTGCCCCCTACTGGCCGGGCGCTAGAACTACATCGTTTTTCAACCTCATGTGAACGCTGAGAAATTTGCATTAGGAGCCAGGTCGTTTCTGTTAATAGCCTGGAAACGTCTGCGCAGCGTCTCAGTATAAACAGGGCCTGATACTCCTTCCATTTCAATATAATTGCTTGCACAGTGCTCCTTGAGATGTTTAAAGCTTGGGAAATCTGTTTGTATCCAAATCCAGCTTTAAACTTCTCCACAACAGTATCTCGGACCTGCCTGGTGTGTTCCTTTGTCTTCATGGTTCTCTCTGTGCTTTAAACAGAACCCTGAGACTATCAAAGAGCAGGTGCATTTATACGGAGACTTGATTACACACAGGTGCATTCTATTTATCATCATCAGTCATTTAGGACAACATTGGATCATTCAAAGATCCTCACTGAACTTCTGGACTGAGTTTGCTGCACTGAAAGTAAAGGGGCCCAATAATATTGCACGCCCCACTTTTCAGTTTTTTATTTGTTAAAAAAGTTTAAATTGGACTTCCGGGTTGGGCGTGTGTCATGGCGGCAGCATAGAGAATCAGCTCTCCGACGAAAAATAGAAGACCCCCCTGAAAGTTGTATTTTTTCCGATTTTACTTTAACCAAGGCCAAGCAGTAGTGAAGGGGGGTTATTATGACAAAAGGGAGATCAAGACAAACAAAAACCAACATTGGAAAGCACGTCGAGGAAGCAGAAGAGCGACCTAAGCTAACGGCTACAACGTGCCCTGCGGAACCTGGGCTAGCAGCTGCATTAGCCGCGAGTAAGCTAACAGGGGAGCAGCCGCTGGAAACGATGGCTGATCTCCAAACTGTACTTCAGGAAATTAAGGATTTTCGAAGAGAGAATGCAGAATCTTTCAAGGAGCTAAAAGAGGACATTAAAAGCACGAACATCCGAGTTGAAGAGGCAGAAAGGCGCATTATGGAGTCGGAGGGGCGCATCCAGATGATTGAAGATGCTACTCTTGAGCTACTGGAGCTGCAAAAGCAAACCTTGTCCAGACTGACGGACCAAGAAAGCCGCTCCAGAAGAGACAATATCAGGATTCACGGGGTAAAAGAAGGTGCTGAAGAAGGGTCTCAGTCAATGATTGACTTTATTGTGACCCTGCTGAAAGAGAAGTTGGACCTGGCGCCGTCACTTGACCTCATTGTCGAAAGAGCCCACCGAGCCTTAGCCGCTCGACCACCGAATGAGGCCCCGCCAAGATCAATAGTGGTAAAGCTGCAAAGTTACAGAACCAAGGAAGCCATTATAACGGCAGCGTGGCAGAAAAAGGGCTTCATGTATGAGGGAAGGAAGATAATAATTGACCACGATTATGCACCGGAGATTTTGAAACAGCGGAAGCTATATACGGAGGCAAAGAGAGTGCTTAGGGAACGTAAAATACGCTTCCAGACGCCATTCCCAGCAAAACTTCGTGTCTTTTATGATGGGGAGACGCAAATGTACAACACAGCAGCGGAGGCGACTAAGGATATGGCCACAAGAGGATACCAGGTCTCAGTGGTGCCACCAGAAGAGGACAGGTTTGAGAAGATGAGACGCATCTGGAGTCGGGCTGAGGGAAGAGGACGTCAGGCGGACGCACGACCTGGATACATGCAAAAGCTCGACGTTTACAGAAGATCGGCTATGGAGGAGTGACGTAAACTCAGGAAGGTGAGAAAGAACTACTAGTAAAAAGACTCATTTTAATTCTCCATTTGATTATAAAACATGTCGGAACTGTTTTCTCTCGAGACTGCCATCAAGAGACATGTGTGTGTACTTTAGTACCGAGGGGGCCCTCTGGTGGTTTAGAGTCAGAGGTTTTTCCCCCGAGTCACAGTTGGACTCAATTAGGGTCAACGAAACGACCTCAGGTGTGGAAGCCGTGTTTTTTTTATTTGTTATTGTTTGTATGATTAAGTTCGATATCATTGTTTGTTTTTCTAGTAGCAGGGGGAATTATTATAGTAATCTCAAACTCTCATTGTCTGAATGCAAAACAACTTCATTAAGATCTACTCGTATAATGTGAATGGTATTTTAAGCCCATGTAAAAGAAGTAAAATTTTAAGTAAGTTAAAAAAGGAAGGAGTGGGAATTGCCTTTTTACAGGAAACCCATCTTACAGAAAAAGAACATGAAAAGCTAAAGAGAAATGGATATTCTCAGGTATATGCTGCTTCATATAAAACGGGTCACAGAAGAGGGGTGGCTATTTTAATATCAAGATAAATCCCCTTTCAAAAATTATCTGTGATAAGTGACAAGGAGGGAAGATACGTACTGGTTAAAGGGAGAATAGAGGGAACATTAATGATCTTATTGAATATATATGCACCACCAGGCTCAGACTGGTCTTTTTATAGACTAATATTTGATTTGATGACATCTGAAGGGGAGGGAATTATGATAGCGGGAGGGGACTTAAATCAAAGGTTAGATCCCCAAATGGATACTACATCAGTGGGGTCATTAAAAACGAAAGTAGCCAAAAACATTGGAGATTTGATGGGGGAACTTGCTATTATGGATGTTTGGAGAGATTTGCATCCTCTAACTAAGGACTTCACTTTTTATTCTTCTCCGCATAAAATGTATTCAAGAATTGATTATTTTTTTATGCATAACAAAGATAGGTACAGGGTGGAAAATTGTGAAATAGGGGTAATGGATCTCTCGGATCATTGTCCGGTGCACATGACCCTACTTTTGACACCTGAAAAAAAAAGAACACTCTGGCGGCTTAATGCCAATTTGCTGAGAGGAAACATTAAAGAGGAATTGAGAGTAGACATTGAGAGATTTTGGAGGAGAATGATAATGGTGAAGTGTCCCCACCCATACTATGGGATGCATGTAAGGCTGTATTAAGAGGAAAATTGATTGCCAAATCAGCATTCTTGAAAAAACAAAAGCAAAAGAGACTAGAAACACTAAAATTAGAATTGCAAAGATTTGAACAAGGGTTAGGGTTAGTTACAAAAGAAAAAGCAGAAATAAATGAAATTTACTCAGAAGAATTACAGAAAAAACTTATTTACAAAGCAAAGATACTATGAGATAGGGGGGAAATCAACAAAGTTGTTAGCTTACAAGTTGAAAAAGGAACAGGCAATAAATAACATTTATAGGATGAAAAATCCCAAGACTAAAGAAGTGAAATATAAAACTGAGGACATTCAAAAGTGTTTTGAATCATATTATACAAACTTGTATGCCAAATCAAATGTGGAAGATGCTAAAAAGATGGACACGTTTTTAGACAAATTGACATTGCCAATAGTAACAGATGAGCAGAATGAAACCTTGACGTCAGAGATTACAGAAAAAGAAATTAACTCTGCAATCTCAAAGTTGAAAACCAACAAGTCCCCAGGAGCAGACGGATATACGTCAGAATGGTACAAGATATATAGAGACATGCTGGTTCCAATTTTACAAAAAACATTCAATTGGGTGCTACAAAAAGGAGAGATGCCAGGCTCATGGCAGGAAGCCATTATATCAGTGATCCCAAAACAAGGAAAAGATGGGCTTGAATGTGCCAGTTACAGACCTATTAGTGTTTTAAAATCAAGATTATAGATTGTTTACAGCAATATTGGCCCGCCGTATGGAAAATATATTGCCAGATATTATCCAGTTAGACCAGGCAGGTTTCATAAAAGGGAGACAGACACAGGACAATATCAGAAGAACATTACATGTGATGCAGCATATACAGGACAGACGAATAGAAGCAGTAATAATGGGGATGGATGCTGAAAAAGCTTTTGATTCAGTTGGGTGGGAATTTCTATATAGGGTGTTAAAAAAAATTCAATTTCCAAAATACATTCATTAGGACTATACAAGCATTATACTCTGGTCCAACGGCAAGGATAAAGGTTAATGGGTCTTTATCAGAGAAGATTATATTGAATAGAGGTTGTAGGCAGGGCTGCTCGGCAAGCCCTCTGCTTTTTGCTATTTTTTTGGAACCCCTCAGTCAATTAATAAGGCAAAATGAATATATTAAGGGAATACAAATGGTGGGAGGGATGCAAAAAATCTCACTATTCGCAGATGATGTTTTAATATATGTGTCGGATCCCAATACATCTATACCAGCTCTTATGTCAGCATTTGCAGATTTTGGGAAACTGTCCGGCTATAAAATAAATGTACGCAAAACCCAAGTCCTAGCTTTAAATTATAACCCAAAAGATTATGTAAAGAATAGCTACAACATTGACTGGAACATGAAATCCATAAAATACTTGGGAGTAATTTTGACAAAAGATTTGAATAAGTTAAAAGAGGCTAATTATGATCCATTAATATCTAAAATAAAGGAGGATTTTGAGAGGTGGAGTTTAATCCCATTTCTGTCAATTGCTCAAAGAGTGGAGGTAATCAAAGTCAACATTCTACCAAGACTACTGTACTTGTTTCAGAATCTACCTGTGGAAATTTTAAAGAAAGAATTCAATGAATGGGATAAATTTATTTCAAGATATATTTGGCAGGGGAGGAGACCAAGAATAAAGTATAGGACAATGCAGCTAGCTAAGGGAAAGGGTGGGTTAGCCCTACCCTGTTTGAGGAGTTATTACCAAGCAGCACAAATTAAAAATTTTAATGAACGTTTTTAATCCTTCATATTTTTCTAAATGGAAAGACATAGACAAATCAAAAATACAGGGGATCCCAGTGCAAGCTTTAATTGGGGACAACAAATTATACAAACAAATCAAAGGGCAAATCAATCCTTGGTTAAATGTCGCATTGAAAGAATGGTTTGAAATGGTAACAAAAAATGATTTGAATGTCCCATGCAAGATGCTGAAATGGATTGGGTATGATACAGAGTTTGATCCCAATAAAGGAGATGAACAATTTAAAATATGGCAGGGACCAAAAATGTGGTGGGAATTGGTAAAAAATGGGGAATGCAAAAACTTCCAAGAGATTAAGGATCAGTTTGGGTTAAGAAATCAGGACTTTTTTCGATTTTTGCAATTAAGGCATTATGTATCACATGATATAAAAAGGGAAAATTTCAGAGTTGACTCGGAGATGATTAGCCTGTTTATCAAGGCCTATCAATCCAAGCTAAATGAAAAAATGATTACGTGCATCTATACTGAGATAGAAAACCTGAAAAATGAAGATACACAATATATAAAACGTAGATGGGAAATTGAAGCCAATATTCATTTGACACAGGAAGAATGGGATGAGACCAATGAGCAGGTGTGGAAGACAACATGCTCATTAATGTGGAGGGAACATGGCTGGAAAAACATAGTGAGATTTTTCCGAACTCCAGCTCAAACAAAATACACAGACACAAGCTGTTGGAGACAATGTGGAGAAAAAGTGGCAAATCATGTGCATATATTCTGGTCCTGTCCCTCAGTGCAGAGATACTGGAAAGATTTGAAGGCATGTATGGACACGGTTTTACGTACGGATTTGCCATTTACATTTGAATTGTTTTATTTGGGAAAACTTAATGTGAGACTTAAAAATTATTTGAATTTGAAGTTGTTTAGAATTATGCTGTTAGCTGGGAAAAAGGGTATCACGCGAAATTGGCTGAAGGTGAGGAGCCCATCCAAAGAAAATTGGTTAGAGGTGATGAAAGATATTTTTACAATGGAGAAGATGACCGCAAGTATAAGGCTGGAAAGTGAAAAATTTGAAGAACTATGGAAACATTGGCTTAAATTTGTGAGAACGATAAGACAAGATTTTATTTGAAAAGAGAATTTTAAATCCCCAAGTTTAGTCATGCTACTTTTGTGTGTTTGTGTTCTATTTTTTATTTTTATTTTTTTTGTTTATAAAAAATGGGACAAAGTGTCAATGTATAATGTGAAACACTGTAATGTACATGTCATGTCCACGAAAAATCAATAAACAATAAATGTAAAAAAAAAAATAAAAAATAAAGTTTAAATTATCCAATACATTTCGTTCCACTTCACGATTGTGTCCCACTTGTTGATTCTTGACAAAAAAATAAAATTTTTCAGGCTTTATGTTTGAAGCCTGAAATGTGGCGAAAAGTTGAAAGGTTCAAGGGGGCCGAATACTTTCGCAAGGCACTGTGTGTGTGTGTGTGTAAAATAGATATATAATATATATACATCAATAAATTACGTTCTAAGAACTGATAATGAAATTCCATGATTCCTGAGTAGATTGAAATAAGGACTAAAAAGTGCTCAACCCGATCCACCCAAAGGGTGTCCCTTATTTTTCAGTTCTCGTTGGCGCCACCCACCAACCACAGGATTTTCAGTTCAATCTGCATTTCAAAAGCATGGTGTCTCTTTAATATGGAATATATCATATGCTAAAAATGTATTAAATACTGGATGAAATACTGGTGATTTTGTTTGTGGAGACTGGACACACCTGATTTCAAACTAAAAAAAAATATATTAGGGCTGTCAAAATTATCGCGTTAACGCACGTTAATTAATTATTTTCATTAATGCAAAGGAAGGTTTCTCACCCATCATCTGTACTTCTTAGCAAGTTTTCCCGACGTTTCGTCCTCAACCTGGGGACTTCTTCAGGGAATGAATTCTCGGACCGCGCGTTGGAGATTTATAACCTATGGGTGTGGTAAGCCACACCCTAATCCTGATACTAACTCATAAACA